AAGACTTTATCATAAAATAAATAAATAAATTTAATAACAATTACAATTCTTCTAATTTTTTCCTATGTATTGTTCTTCTGTTGAAAATTCATTTAAAATTTTATCAATAAGTTCTTTAAATTCATCATCCTTACCGGACATAATTTTTTCCTTTTTCTTTCTTAAATTATTTAATCTGAAATTAAAAAAAAAAAATGCTGATAATAATAATAATAATAATAAATGTGTAAATAAGAATTTTTAATATTTTTCTCATTTATTCATTTCATTTAAAACAAAAAAAACAAAAAAAATTATTAATTTTCTTTTTTTCCTTTTTTTTTCTTTCGTTAATATAATTAATAAACGAAAATTAATGTTTTGAAATATCAATCAATCAATCAATCAATCAATCAATCAATAAAACAAAAATAGTTAAATTTATCGTTTATAAGAAAACATAAAATAATAATAATAGCAATAATAATTGATTGATGAGATTTTATCAAAGACTAATAAAATTTTTACATCATTTCAATTAATAATTAATTATGTTGTATACCGAGTAGTGAACGAAATAATAATAATAATAATAATAATGTTTTCATATCAGGGGAAAATAAGTATTATTATTATTATTATTATGGAAAGATTTTTTTTAATCGAGACATATTTTTATACTAACTGACTGACATATGTATTATTGTTGATAAAATGGAAAAAAAAATTTTTTCATTTTCTTTTAGAGAAATAAAAAAAAAAAAAAATTTATTATTGCTTTTTTTTTTTATCGAAATAAAAATAAAGAAATGATTTTAGATTATTATTATTATTATTTGATTTTTACCTTTCCGTGACGCCATGAAAATTAACCTTGAATAAATAAATGATTATTATTAATAATTCATTGGTATAGGTGTCACCGTGTCAATAGAAAAAATTTTCTTACGTTAAAATGAATACGAAGACCTTAACCGTTTTAAATCCTTCCTTCGCCTTTTTACTTTTTTTCTCGTTTCAAAACGAATCCATTTTTTTTTTTTTTTTTTTTTTTGTAATATTAAATTAAAATACACATAAAATACAAATCTTAATTTTATTACCGTAAATTTCTTTTTTTTTTAATTGTGTAATTACCTAACTAGGTCACTTACTGTTTTTTTTT